ATTCCCGACCTGACAGGAGTCTAGGAGTGAGTGCGCGAGGTGGTTATAAAAGGCTCTCCACCCCCAAAGAGGAGGTATGCAAACTTTGCGCTATCTGGTTTATCTTACCTTTGAAGGATTCTAACTTAAGCTTCGGAGCCTTTACACCGGGTTCTCCCCGGAGCTTCCTCATCTCCTCCGTTTCAGGTTCCCCGCTACTCAGTTCAGAGGCAAGGTCATTGACAGCTCGGACCGGCCGGATTGCGCATCATCAGGCATGATGGAAATTATTTTTAGCATATGGTGAGTGGTAAGAATTCTACAAGCCATCATAAAATGCTCTAGAACATAGAGAAGGAGGGTTTACAACTCTTTTATTTTTAGGGAAAATTTCCGATCAGTACCCTGTACTTTGGCTCGAGTGACAATTTGGTCCCTGAACTTTAAAATGCGACAATCCAGTACCCGAACTTTTAAAATGTGACAATCCAGTACCTGCCGTTAACCAGTCCGCTAATCAGCTGTTAAGTGACATTTGAAAAGTCAAAAATGCCCTTTGAAAGCCATCTAATTCTCTTTATCAACCATCCAAACATTGACAAAAAACTGAACAGTCCCAAATCCTAGCCTCTTCTATTCAAAAACGTTGGTGACTGTTAAGAAGAATCTAGAATTTGGGACTGTTCATTTTATTGTCAATGTTTGGATGGTTGATAAAGAGAATTAGATGGCATTCTTAGGGCAATTTTGACTTTTCAAATGTCACTTAACGGCTGACTAACGGACTAGTTAACAGCAGGTACTGGATTGTCACACTTTGAAAGTTCGGGTACTGGATTGTCACGTTTTGAAAGTTCGGATACTGAATTGTCACATTTTAAAGTTCGGGGACCAAATTGTCACTCGAGCCAAAGTACATGGTACTGATCAGGAATTTTCCCTTTATTTTATTGTTGTTATTTTTAAATTTTTATGTGTTTATAATTCCATCTCTTTTCCTTGGCCAATCTAAGGATCTTAATTCATAGATCGACTTTTCTCCACTCTTGTCTCTTATCTAAATTCAAGACGTTGCACATTAAGCATTTGAATTCTTGTTTATTTGAAGGACAATATAGTCTAGCGTTATGTGATAGGGTTCTTTATTTCTGAAATTAGTGTCTCAGTCACTATGCAATTTCATTTCATCACATGCCAAAAGTTTATATCATGCTAACTCTATTTCAGGCTTTCTATGGACACCTCATATTTCTTTCAGGGGAAAACTAGTTTTGATGTTCCTTGTTGTATAGGTTGGAATTGGATAACTTGATTTCAACATGACTGCTATCCAATTAGTAAACTAGTATGCATGCTTTACAAGAGAAATTAGTTAATCATTTTATATTTTGTATGTTGAAATTTGAATTCTCTCCTTACGTTCATGTATGCATGATTTGCAGATATGTGATCAGTTCTCAGCAGAGCTATTTCAAATTGAAGGTCCTCAGCCAGTTCCTGTTCTGTGCAACTCCACTATCTCAGCAAATGCATCCCAATCTAACGGTGCCACAAATGACTTCTGTGGCAAGGTCTGGGATACTTGCCAAAATATTTCTATATTAAATTCTCCATTTGCCCCCTCATTGCAAGGTAGAGCTGGTGTCCCAGGTAATTCAACTTATTCAAAGATGACCGACCTATGGCAGTCAAAAAGTGAATTTTGCAATGCATTTGGTGGAGATTCTGGCAATGGATCAATGTGTTTTGATGGTGAACCAATTTCATTGAATAATACTGAAACTCCAAGTCCTCCAAATGGCCTGTGCCTTGAGAAAATTGGAAATGGATCTTCGTATCTTAACTTGGTTGCTCATCCTGATGGGTCCAGCCGTATCTTCTTATCTGACCAGCAAGGTAAAATATGGTTGGCAACTGTTCCCGATGAGGATTCTGGGAAAACATTAGAGCTAGATGAATTAAATCCTTTTGTGGATTTAACAGATGAAGTTTATTTCAGTTCTGAGTTTGGTCTGATGGGTATGGCATTTCATCCAAACTTTGCACAAAATGGCCGCTTCTTTGTTTCATTCAATTGTGATAAGATTAAGTGGCCAGGATGTTCTGGAAGATGTTCATGTAACTCAGATGTGAACTGTGATCCTTCAAAGCTGGCTTCTAATAATGGGGCTTCTCCATGCCAGTATCATAGTGTCATCTCAGAATTCACTGCTAATGGTACCACATCAGAAGTTTCCTTGGTACATATCCATATACTTGTTGGCAGTATTTATTTCAGTCTAACAGAGGCCTAATCAAATTGTAATTTTGATCTGTTTTCCAGGCAACAAGAGCCAATCCTACAGAAGTCAGAAGGATATTTACAATGGGCCTGCCATTTACTAGTCACCATGCAGGCCAGATTCTCTTTGGACCCACAGATGGATATTTATACTTTATGATGGGGGATGGTGGAAGTACAGGCGATACTTACAATTTTTCTCAAAATAAGAAATCCTTGCTGGGAAAGATTATGAGGCTTGACGTAGATAACATACCAAGTGAGTGTCAAGACAGAATAGTTTGTCTTCCCCCACCAAAAAAAAAATCTTGAGGAGATTGCTATGTTATGTTTTATATTTCATGCATAATTCTTAATTTTTCAATCCTTAAGACTATGTTTTGTTTTCTGAGAATGCCAGTTCTTTTAATGTATGTATGTCTTTATATTATTCTCTAAGTATTGGATGATGGGTGGCAAACAGTTCAGTTAGTTGCCAAGCCCAGGTCTGGAACAAGCCTCACCAAATTCAGCAATTATAATATAGCTAGTGTCTTCATGAAAAGAAATTATTTATAATAAAACAAATGACAAGCAAGAGATGCAGTGAAACCTTGAAATTAGTGGTTATATTTCTTGTGCCAAAGTATGGGGGAAAAACCTACACTTAAATCTTTACTTCTTTTATGTACTTTTTTATTCTTTATGGGGCAGGAACCAAAGATATCATTATGGATCCTCATTTAGTTCAATCTATTTCACCTTTTCTTTCTTTCTTTTTTATCAGTAAGTATCTTTTTCTAATAATACACGTGTGCTTAGATGACTAAGTATGAATCTGATCCATAGATGCTTCTAAGGGCTGTTTTTCAGTTTTAGTGCCCAGTGTATGTACACTATTTCCAGGTCATTTCACTACTATTCCTTCGTTGTTTTGGTAAAGCATTTTCCAATACTTTATTTTCCATCTTCATGTGAATGGTTTGCTGTTTATGTAAATGTGTTGGAAACTGTTAAATATTTTCTCATAAATTACATTATTTAAACTCTTCCATTTTTTATCTGTTGTTGATCCTAGACTACTCCCTCTTTTGTTGGCTATTCATAATCTTCTGGTTAGGACACATGAACTTGTTGGATTTGGTTCCACCTCCTTAAATGTGTTTTGCATTGTTAGTATATGTTAATAGGCTTCATTTCCTTGACGGATGCCTTAAGAGTTCCTCTATGTTTTATGCTATGAGCCATCCTTTATTGCTTAGATCATATTGTTTTCTTTATTTGGAATGGAGAAACAGGATTCATGTAGCTTAACCCATATAGTTGGGACAAGGCTTATATGATGATGATGATATCATTTTCTTTATTGATCATTATTTTATCATTCCTGATACTTATTTCCAGGTGCAAAGGAAATTGATACCCTTGGTCTGTGGGGAAACTACTCTATCCCAAAAGACAATCCATTTTCTGAAGACACAGAATTGCAGCCTGAGATTTGGGCCCTGGGACTTAGAAATCCATGGCGCTGCAGTTTTGATTCAGAAAGGCCTTCGTACTTTCTCTGTGCAGATGTTGGTCAGGTAAAGATTTTCTTCTAGATTTTTTTTTTTTTTTTGTAAATAAAGTACTTCATTAAGCACAACTGGAAACAGAAAGGATACAAAAGGAGCCTCCCCACATTATAAACAACAGTCAGTCTGTGGGAGGTTCAAAAAGAGTTAGTTTTTCCTGTCTAATACGAGCTCTATTAGCAAGAGAATGAGCTCTAGTATTTTCAGATTCTTTTACATAAGATATACTAAAATTTACAAAAAAAGAGATGATTTGTCTGCCTTCTTCGATTATGCCCTGTGTACTCCATCCAGATGCTAGCCAGTTGTGCTTCAAAAGACTAGCCACTTGATAGTTCATTTGTAGCTGCTTTAGGTTTGACATATATTAAGCTTTTTCGCTGCATTGGAACTTCAATGAATGATCTCTAAAGTATTCTTCTGTCGATGTATAGTCTCAGGTTAATTGCATCACAGTAGATTGTGCCATTGGGTTATCAACATGCCTAAATCTGCACCAATCTTAATCCAAAATCTGATCTGGTTAGCCAGATTTGGATTCCAAAACTGCATTTTTTCAGTAGATCTGGGTACTATATTTTTTAACCAAAAAATTACAGGCTTGGGTTGGTTTCCATTCCTTTTATTTTGTCCAGAATATATGGTTTTGGAATTATCCAAGTCTGATCTAGATCCAGTTAATTAGGTTTGAATTTTATTCTAAATATCTAGTTGGTTCAAATCTCTAGGTATACCCAATTCGAACCTTTTTATTGACAGATGTAAGCAATGCCTTGAGAACTTGTTAATGTGCAACCAGAGTTTCATGTTGTGTCAAAGGAAGATGTGTAAATACGATGGGTTAAAATCACTTAAACTGATGTCGCTTTGGGTGTTCAGTTGCAGTTGATGATAATCTGATAAAAATCACGCTGTAATTACTAATGGAAAATTTTCCCTGTCATATCATTCATAAGAGTAATTTGAACCATTAATTCAATTGACAGACTGTGATACTGATATGATGAATTGGACGCTGCAACTATATTATTGATAGACTTTGATTTTAAACCATGTAAGCAAGACTCCATATTCTTTAAAATTGTAAACAGCTGAGCATGGAGAGCTACTAGAGAAGAAAAGATGGAGTCCCTTTTCCTTGTCCTTTTGTATTAAACATGTACTTTGTGTTCAGTTTATATCCATTTTCCTTAAGATTCTTACAGGGATTTCATTGGTTCTGTAGTATCCTCATAAATTGAATATACAATCATTGATTAGATTTGATTCTCAGAATAATTTTGACTTCATAGGATCAATATGAAGAGGTGGATATTATCACTAAGGGTGGAAATTATGGATGGCGTGCTTATGAGGGTCCCTATCTTTACAGTCCTCCATTGTCTCCCGGAGGAAATACATCTGTGAACTCAACAAATCCTATCTTCCCCATAATGGGATACAACCACTCCACTGTAAATAAGAAAGAAGGATCTGCATCCATTACTGGTGGCTATTTCTATCGTTCCATGACCGATCCATGCACTTACGGAAGGTGAGTAGGATTAGTTCCACCCAATCTGAAAATTGGTAGTTCTTTACTGATTGATTATGTATGCATAGAAACTGGAACAGATAGACCTGTTAACCCTCCTAACCACAAATGGAGTTTCAGTTACCTGTACGCGGATCTCTATGCTGGTAATATGTGGGCTGGCATTGAAACCCCGCAGGATAGTGGGAACTTCAGTAGCCGCTCAATTTCTTTCAGTTGTGCTCGTGACTCCCCAATCCAATGTGAATCATTGCCAGGAAGTTCTCTACCCGCTTTGGGTTACATTTTCTCATTTGGGGAGGACAACAAGAAAGATGTATATCTTTTAACCAGCAAGGGGGTTTACAGAGTTGTTCGTCCAAGTCGCTGCAGTTATGCTTGCTCAAAGGAAAATGCTACAGCTGCAGGAAGTCCAAATCGTGGTACTTCTACCCCTTCATCTGGGAGTTGGTTGAGGGTCGCATTCAACAATGTGATGCTCTTTTTGTCTTCTTCATTGTTACTCATACTGGGTTTTGTATTCTGAGCTAATTCCCCAGGCCTAGGCAGTATTCAGTATTGTAACGCTATCCACATGGTTGGTTTCATTGCGGAGGTACTATTTATAGGTTACTACTGTGTTCTCCTTTGTACTATTGTAGTTTCCGGAGTGTGCTGCATTTTCTTATCTGGGTACTTGCATTGCATGAGTTTTGCTCTTCTCTACTGAAATAAATGGAGAAATCAGAGACTTGTGGTTAACATACATAAGAAGAGGGAGAGTCCCAGCCCCACCCTTTCGGTGGATGCCACTAATGTCTACTATCTAAAACAGATTGATTGAGTCATTTGATTCATGATCATAATCTTCATGAAATCAGATTTACACTCTGTATGGCAGAGTTAACCAAGGTTCCACTCCCCTTGCACGTGAAAACTGAGAAATGAACTTTTGAGTGGATCAAACACTTTCCACTCCCTCTGCAATTCATTCTGTTTAATTCAGATTAGAGGGGGCCCAGGCGCCCAGCTGCCGCTTTGGTTGGATTAATGGGTTGGCCATATGATATGTTCGGTTAATAACCCATCCCAACCAGCGCAGCATCTAATGTGCGACTGCAATGTACTATGAGGTTGGCGTGAGAAGCACACTGTGAAGAGCAAATCCACGGCCATATGCATATCTCAGTGTGCATCGGGAACGTCTCCTGTATTTGTGAGGCGCTGATGTGAACTCGTGGGGTTCCATGTCAGTCTCTGCTACAACCAGCTAGAAATTGGTGGTGAACGGGATTGAAGCGCTTCCGGCATCTGCCCTGACCTTGTTGCATGCATCTAATTCGATGATAAATGTTATATAATAGGCAAGGCCAAGCTTTTCAGTGAAGTCCACCTCCTTTTCCTCCAGGAGATGCGAGCAGCGGGGGTTCCTCCTCTGGACATGGTCAGCAATTCCACTCACAACATTTGTAGGATTCGTTAAAGCGCACTGTCAATACTCTTACTCGATCTCTGAGATGAATTACGTCGGTCGGGTGCCGCTCGACTATTTGCGGCATTAATATACTTGATGTTTATGACCAGCTGGATATGGCTAAAGAAGCTGACCGCTTTTTCTGGAGCACGAAGAAGATGGGAATTGAGCTTCTCATGTCTGTCATCAACTAGGGCACACTGTTGAGTCTTCAGGGTCTCTGGGGAGGCCAACTGGCCAAAACGCTATTTGGGGAAGAAGTGTCCACCATTTTTTCCGGCCCACAGATGCAGATGCAGAATTTCGAGCATATTTCGTCACAATTAATACAATGGTTAAGATTCATGCAAAGTCTCTAGAGGAAGAGGGGTTGAGCCGAATGCCATTACATTCTTGTCTTGACGATCATCTAATTTCATATCGGGGAAGGCGGGGGGATTGGATTAAGTAACGGTAGCCATGTTATTTCAAAAGCTGAGAAACTCCGGACAGCCGGACGGGTGGGGTGACGATTGACCAGGTTCTTCACCAGATGATATGCCTGTGGCGTACGAGAGAGCGGGCTTGGTTGGACATGCCTAGCACTTGCGGGAGCCGGTTGGATGGAAGAGTCTACCTGGGTTTTCCATCAAGCTTCTGAATTTTGAATTTTGATGTTGGGGAGAGGTGAAGTATATCTCTGCTCTGTCCATGACTGTGCTTGGGGTGCTTGATTGATCTCTTTTCAATATATAGAAAGCGTGCAAATGCAGAGCCCATTGAGAATGAGAATGGTTCTGTACGGAGAAAGAAATGATGAATCAAGAATAGTTAGCTAATTACAGTGTCAAGTTATTCACTAATCTCTGTATATTTTTCAAGCTAATGCTCCATGAATAAGTGAATAAGTGATGGTGCATATATGCAAGGAAGACGGAACTCCATTGGACACTCTAATATGAAGATTTACGCAAGAGTTAATTATGACCGTATAGAATTATATTTTTTAAAATAACTATTTTAGTAATTATAATTTTTTAATTGAACTTGAGCATGATTTGCATCTTAGATTTATCATTTATCTTTCTTATAACATTCTCATGAATCTAATATATTTTTTTGATTATGGCTATATATTTGTAAGTACTAATTAATCAATAAATTTAAAATAAAAAATTTATAATATTTTTTTTTGTTTAATGTATATGTAGCAATTCATAAAAACCTAGTATATTAATATTAAGTTTTTCTTGGTAAAGAAAGTATTATTTACTAATTTTTTTTGGGGTTCCAACCGGACAATTTAATGTATTATTTCCTAATTATTTTTATTTATTTATAATGGTCAGTGAATCAATGGTTCAGATTTTGAAATAATGCATTAATTTATAATAATTTACCATCATATTTAGGGTGTCTCATTGAATTTTATTAAAGGGAAAATTCTCTATTAGTACATTGTACTTTGGGCTTACTGCCACTTTGGTTTCCAAAATTTAAAATGCAACAATTTAATACCCGAACTTTCAAAATGTGTTAATCCAGTACTTGCCGTTAACCAGCCCGTCAATCAGCCATTAAATGGCATTTGAAAAGACACAAATGCCTTTCGAGTGTCATTTAATTTTCTTTATCAACCATCCAAACATTGATAAAAGATGAACAATCTCAAATCCTTGCCTCTTCTATTCAAAAAAATTGGGGTTACCAGAATGCCCACTAAGATGTGACCCCAACTTTCATACTAAATTGTTGCATTTTAAAGTTTAAGGACCAAAGTAGCAGTAGGCCCAAAATACAGGATACTAATCAGGAGTTTTACGTTTATTAAATTGAAATTTGAGAGTTTGATTAATGCAATTTTAATGAAGTCGTTATGTAATATATACACTTACATAGGTGGCTTGTTGATATATGGGTAATGTATAACTTCATGCAAACTATTAAAGAGCCCAATTAATGGCTTCATGCACGTTATAATTTGTAAAAAGCATCTGTTATTAACTCTTTTTCATATAAACTATAAAAGTATGCATTTATTATATGATCTTCATATATTTTATTGATCATCAGGACAATTGCACAACTATCTATGTGTCCTCTTATAGTTATATTAACTTATTTATATATAAACTATTAATGTATGCATTTATTATGTGTTTATACCTTATCTATAGTTATTTTTATATTGGATTTAGTGTTATTTATGTATTTATGTGTTTTATATAGGAGTTTCCTTAGGTTGTGTTTGGTTTGAAGAAGAAGGTAGGGAAAGGAAGGGTGTGTTTGTAAAGGATTTTTCTCTACATTTTCCCTTCCTTTCCCTACTTTTTCCTTCAAACCAAACATAACCTTAATGCATACCAATGTATGTGTATATTTCCACCATATATATATATATATATATATATATATATATGTATGTGTGTGTGTGTGTTTCTGAAATGTATTCTAAAAGACTTTTATGATGTCTCTTAAAATTGTTGTTTCATACATTTTTGTGTTGTGATTCTCATAAGAAAAACTAGCTAGAGGCTATATTGTGGTTTGTAAATTATTTATTTCTCTAACTTTTTTCACTCATTTTCCATCCCCCTTCCCAAAATAGGATGTTGGGAATTTTTAGCCAGATTAGATCCAAATTTTGAGATAATAAGGGCATGCCAAAGAAAATTGTTTTAACTTAATGCTTCTTCACTAAAGTTATAAGAAATGGAAATAACAATAGAAGAATGCCAATTTTGTCCCATCTTTGTTAGGAGATTGGGATGTGCTTCAACCTTTTGTAAGCCTTAGGACTCACACTTTTATAGAACTAGCTCTCGATAGGGTTGCCAACGACTCAATGGACTCTTATGATCAGTTTGAGAATAGCGCAAATACAAATATATATAGTGCAAAACCTTGTATTGGGTATTTCTAAACCATGTATTTGTACTATAGATTCTAGTGTAAAGTCACATGCTATGCATGTGTGCAAGTTTATGGTAAAGACTTAAATTGATATTGTACATCGAATTTGACTTGCACTAAAACTAAGGCAAATATCCACTTTATAATAGTATAAATTTATGGGTAAAATACAAATCACCCCTAAAGTTTCTAACAATCATAAAAACCTCCCTTGTAGTTTTATTTTAGCAAAAACTTCCTCTAAACATTTAAAGATCTCGACAAAAACTTCTCTTCCATCAATGATTCAAACAAAAAGCTGATAAAGTAACGAAATTGCCCCTGATCAATTGTAGGGAGTCAATTAAATATTTAATGTTGGAATTGCCCCTGCTTCCACTTCCTCTCGCAATAGAAGGGAATAACGTGAAATCCTTCCCCTGCGTCCACTTCTTCTTCTTCTTCCCCACTGTCTCCATTCTCTTCCATCGAGTCGATTGAATTGGAGCAACCCAAAAGGCACTGTTCATCTTCTTCACAGTGGTAAAAACTATCAGCGGTGCTCACTCATTCTCTCATGAGAACTTCAGGTTTTAGCTAAACCTATTAAAAATGAGTTTCAAGCTGCTACCCAACATAAAGCAACAGAAATGAGTAGTGAACGAAAAAAAAAACCAACAATTGGCAGCAATGGCAACGAGTCCATTACTACTTTGCCCAAGGCCCTCCCAACTTATTAGCAATATACAAGTCCTCATTCCCAAAACTCTATTGCACTATATCTCTGTAACCCCTGGCCAACTCCTAAAGCATTTCAGCTACAGACTTCAGAAATCCTTTAACCTGATCCTTTAGGCTCTCTACTTCAGCATCATCACCTTCGATCCCCTCGACACCTATAAAATCCGCCCTTCTCGTTTCCAGAGCAGCTAGAGTGGTTCCAATTCCGTCGCCGGCATATCTTATCCCTGTGTCCTCCACAAGGCTTGCAAGCTCCTCTCTTCATGACTTCGATGCTGTAACTTCTGACATTTATACAACATACACCCACAAACACCTAATTACAGGATCACAGCATCAAGTTCTTAGAATCCGCTTTCATGAATTTAACACAGAGACGATGCAGGGATGCCAAGTCATTCTCTAGAACTCATTTTAAAGCAGAAGTCGTACATCAATCATCGTAGTAGTTCCGTTGGCGTGATCCGAAAATACATATTGCAGAAACCCTAGCTGACTAGCAATTAATTAATGTACTAGATCCCTCCAAGTAAGTCAATACAAGACGGCTAAAAGGCAAAAGTATCAACACTCTTTTTCTTCCCTTTAAACAGATGGACAGAGACGTGGATGCTGAAATCATTGCTGGCTTGTGCAGGTCTATTTGGGCACTTTAACCGTCATCGCCATTAATGGTCG